GCGCTGTAAAGAAAGCCATAGTGAAACCCCATGGTCAATCGAGCAGGAAGAGATTTCATAGTAAACAATATGGCCGCTCACGAGGATACCGCGGCCACGATTATAAAAATTCCAGGAGTTCGCACAGCGCAGACGTATCCAGCTCACGAAAGCCTCTTTTAGGCCAACGATCGTACAACCAACAGGATAAAAAAGGGAGATACGAAAACTAGAAGCAGTAAGCTCTGTTACACCGGAAAAAGTGAGTGAATCTCCTACATACATTCATTTTAAGAAGGAAACAATTAACCTGGTGCCTATTGACGAATTCAGAGCTGGTAGACTTAATGATTTTCTCCCAGACTGGAAAAAACTAACTTCAGATAAGGCCATTTTGGACACAGTCGCCCACAGTCATCTCCACTTGATCAGTAACGAATTAAATTGTAAACAGGGCACGAGGTCAACTTGTCATGCTAATTCTATCGAGAACGTAGCAATTGATAAGGAGATTACGAAACTCCTTGATAAGAGAATTATTGAAGAATGTTTGCCTTGTATTGGACAATTTGTGTCCCCAATCTTTTCCAGGCCTAAGAAAGATGGCACCTTCAGACTGATCCTAAATTTGAAAGAGTTTAATGAGAATATTGAGTACCATCATTTTAAGATGGAAAGCATCCATACAATCACTACCTTAAGAAGGCCTAACTGTTACATGGCATCAATAGACTTTAAGGATGCTTATTACTCAGTGCCAGTGGCAGTAGAGCATAGAACATTTTTGATATTTCATCGGAATAATAAATTATTTCAATACACTTGCTTCCCTAATGGGCTGGCCTGCTGCCCAAGAAAATTCACTAAATTGCTGAAACCTGTATATATATGCTGAGCTTCGTAAAAAAGGACATCTCCTGGTCCCCTACCTAGATGACTCTTATTTACAAGGGGAATCAGAGCTCGAATGCTTGGAAAATGTTAGGGAAACTGTGACATTATTCCAAAAGCTTCGCTTTATAATACATCCAGTTAAATCTGTTTTTCACCCTACTCAAGAATTGGAATTTCTTGGCTTCATAGTAAATTCGGTGACAATAACAATCAGGATTACTCCAGAGAAAGCCCTGAATATTCAATCACAGTGCACTAAATTCTTGCACAAATCAATAGTCAAGATTAGAGATCTTGCACACATTATAGGACTCCTAGTTTCCAGTTTACCTGGAGTCCAAATGGGCATGTTGTTTTACAGAAATCTCGAAAATGAAAAAATAGACATACTTAAAGCAAATAGTGGGAACTTTGATGCACTGTGTACTATAAGTGAGACATGTACGTCAGAATTACAATGGTGGTGTGACAATATCACCCATGCAAAAAAGAAAATATTGCAAACTGACCCAGGCATTACAATAAGGTGTGATGCATCAAAAGAAGGTTGGGGGGCAGAACTAAACAATAAGCGCACAGGGGGGTGCTGGCTGCCAGATGAAACCATCCTTCATATTAATGAGCTAGAACTTTTAGCAATTTTGTTTGCATTGAAGTCATTGTACAATGATGTAAAAAAAATCGCATCCGTGTAGAAAGTGACAACACAACAGCAGTGTGTTATGTTAACAACATGGGAGGGAGTAAGTCCAGACCATGCAATAATATCGTCAGACAAATTTGGATGTGGGCACTAGAGCATGATAATTGGATTACAACAGCTCATTTACCAGGGAAAGACAACACTGTTGCTGACCGTGAATCCCGTCTGTTTAATGACAGGACAGAGTGGCAATTGAACACTGCAATCAGTATTTTCTAAAATAAATAATCTTTATGGTCCATTAGAACTTGATTTATTTGCATCTAGATTGAATAGGCAATTAGATAAATATGTGGCCTGGCGACCAGACCCTGAAGCAACCTATATAGATGCTTTCTCACTGTCATGGACTGATAAAAGCATTTATGTTTTCCCCCCATTCTCTCTTATAAATAGATGCCTTCAGAAGATCTCAAAAGACAAAGCGGAAGTAGTGATAGTTGTCCCAATCTTGCCAACTCGGACGTTTTTTGCAGTATTCTTGACTATGCTCATAGACAATCCTCGACTACTTCCAAACAAGGACAACCTCTTGACTCTACCTCATTCATCAGCGCTGCATCCTCTGAGAGACAAGGTCCAGTTGATGGCCTGTCATGTATCAGGGAAGCAATGGCAGCAAAAGGAATTCCTGATGAAGCAAATCCCATCATTCTCAAATTCCTAGCGAGACGTAACACAAAAGCAATACAACGCCTATCTTAAAAAGTGGTTACAAGTTTGTGGTGAAAGGAAGATCAATAAAACTGAAAACTGAAGACACTGTGAATAGTGCCTTGATGTTTTTGACAAATCTTAATGTATCGGGACTGAAGTATAGTGCTATTAATGCTGCACGCTGCGCATTATCCAGCCTGAACTTTGACAGTAGAATCACAATTGGCAATCACCCCATTATAGTAAAATTTATGAAAGGTGTATATGAGTCAAGACCAATACAAAGAAAATACTCATTAGTGTGGGATGTAAAGAAAGTGTTGAACATGTTTCGAGAATGGAAAACTAACAAGGAACTGTCTTTAAAAGACTTAACTCTAAAAACTGTTATGTTAATTTCACTAGTTAGTGCTCAACGAGTTCAATCGATACACATGTTGGACACCGCTAATATGATAGAATTGGAGGATACTATAACTTTCCAGATGGGTCTCTTGAAGCAGAGCAAGCCTACCACTAAGTCAATGTTCCTTGAATTCCATAAGTATCCAGAGGATGAAAACCTTTGTGTGGTGAGAACTTTGACATGCTATCTTAGAAGAACCTCATGTTTGCGTGGTCAAGACACTAAAGTATTTATCACTTACTCAAAACCACACCATGCAGCTAGTAAGGACACAATAAGAAGGTGAATAAAAACATGTCTAACAAAAGCCAAAACTGATACACCTGTTTTCACGGCCCACAGTACACGGGCAGCATTAACATCTGCGGCACTTAAAGGGGGTTTGCCGCTTCAACTAATATTGGAAAAGGCTGGATGGTCTAATGAGACCACATCTGCTAGACGTTATAATGTTCCCGTTGAAGGCACCAAAGCATTGCAATTTACCAAGGCAGTTTTCTCATGATTAGATATCATACTATATTCATATAGTGTTTTAAACTGTTGTTAATTTTTTGAAAAGACATTTTATTCATGTCATTGCCTTAACAGCATATCTTTAAGGAGTAAGCTATGTTTACATGTAACTTATGTTACTGGAGTTACCACTGTTCAATATATTAAAGTTATTTTGTTACTTTGGAACATGCTAGAGTGATTAAGGTTTTTCCACACATTCACCAGTAACCCATTTTTTAGAGGTTATTTCAAAGTGATTGTAGTCATCTTGGCTACGAAATCTCACATGATCCTTAAATATGGTGACGTAGAAGAATTTAAAAATTAAACGAAACTTACCTGGAAGTTGAAGTTTGATTAAGATTCTTCTAGTCACCATAACATTTAGGGATCAGATACCCACCCTTGCGCGCTGGCGCCACCCTACCCTATGAGGACTGTAGTGTGCTTGCACCTTTCAAGGTCATACATTTTTCAACATTGTCACATGATTGTGGTCTGTTATTAATCAAGAAGACTACAATCTACTTTAAAGACTGATCTTGCGCATGCGCGTTGCAATCTCACCTGATCCCTAAATGTTATGGTGACTAGAAGAATCTCAATCAAACTTCAACTTCCAGGTAAGTTTCGTTTAATTTTCCAATTTTTGAAGCAAAGCTCAAACATAAATATTAATTTGGAAAATTATTTGTGATTCAAATGAGTTCACGAAGTAGGCGGGTTAAAAATAATCATCAACGACTTCTTTGGTAGGTTTCCGGCGTTGAATTGTAGAGCTAAGAAGGATGACTCGTTTAAGACTGATTTTAAATTAAGAAAAAGAGGGTTAATTGTTGTAATTTTGTAAATATCAACTCGAACTCAGATGAACCTAAACTTTAGTAACATTTTGCTTGAAAATTATTCTTCAGTAATTTGCAGTTAGCTAACTAGAGATCCTCGATATCTCGATCTGCTTTTTTGTTATTGTTTTTATTGTTTTTTTTTTTAACGGGTATTTGAAGTCAGCAGGGTTCAGCTGTTCCTCAATCTATACGTATCACTGTCGAAGAAACTCATTGCATACAGTGGACCTGAAATGAAGGCACACAGGCCTCTTTAATTGTTTTCAAAAGAATGAGATCGAAATGAAGTTTCTGCACGATTCCTTTCTGAATGAGAACAGGGCGACCGATAATCAATGTAGTTGTTATTTGTGGTCTCAATCAATAAGAGTTGAATCAAGCGACGTTACGTCTATATGGTCCGATTACTGTGTTATTGGCAGGTCGGTAGCTAGTTAACATTTTAGCAGGTAAGTCTATGGAATCTTCGAGTAAAATGAGTATACTTTTTTAATGGCGGAGATAAAGTACGGACGTTACTGGACGGAATAAAGAGGGTAAAGTGCTAAAAAACTGGGCTGCCTCCTCGACGGGGCATTTTACCAGATAATTTGGGTTAATATTTTACGATTGTGCTCGTCAACAGAACTACAACAGCCGAAAAACGACTTCAGTGAACTTCAAACGTTATTTTTTCTCATGTCAACTCAACGTAAATCGATTTACAGTAACAAGTGCAGGCTTTTTCTACAATCAGTAGCTTGCAATAATCTATGAACCGTAAGAGATCGACTCACTGTATTGTTTTCCTGGAGAGCAGCTCAAGGATTGTGTGACATATACAAAAGATTAAGAGGAGTATTTAGGTGAAGTAACAAAGACGTCTTTCTGGGCAGTGATCTGCCATTTGATCTGTTCTCCTCTCATTGGTTACGTTGCTGATTAAAGCTAAGATTACTCAAGGTCTCGTGGAAATCACGCGGAAAAATGAGACTACGGTATGTGTCGTAATGACACATATCTCTAAGACGGATAGCTCAGATTGGTGAGATCAGACCTGCTCAGTTATTTATCACGGATCAGCTTCAAATGTATGTATCTCAAGTTAATAAGTCGTAACTGGGGCATTCAGGATGTTACGTTCGGCATCATAATGTTGGCTTTGTTCTCGTTTTTGCAGGAATATCAGCTACGTTACGGTTATTTGGGTAGAAATATCGTTCGAAAATGTGTTTTTTAAAGATTTTTGCACGTTTAAAACAAACTTCTGCTTCTTTTATTCCGATCACGTCCAAATAAACGGTTACAACAACAGAGAGAGAAAACAGAATACACTATTATATATATGCTAATTCCTAAAAAACAAATTTTGAATAACAAAAAGAAAAGACACACCTGGACCAATCATAGATCAAATTAACTATTCCTGTGAAATATTTCAAATTTAAAATAACAACGGCAAACATAATATGCATAATAACAACATTTTTTTGAACGATAAATTGCCTCGAGGACCAGTAGTAAGGACAGTGGTCAATTATTGACTGTCCCACCAACCATACGTACCGTCGACCTATAGCTAGTTAAGTAATTTTAGCTTCTTTGGAGCCTTACCTCAGTTGTAATCCTTTAGTTTTTGTCTAACTAATATATCGACTACTGCTGGTGCTCAACGATGGCCATGGCGGAATCTTCTTTCGCCAGAGTGACAATATTGACTTCGCTTCCACATTCCCAATGGTTCAAAATTAGTAGACATAAACAAATACAGTTTTTATATGAACATGAACAAACGATTCCTCGCTTTACACTAATTTTCATTTTGTAAATATCTCCCTCTTCATTAATCAACAATTTAACAATCTCCTTGGGTTTTGATCACGTAATCTTCATCAGACCAATTTGAAAATTGTATCCCCTGTGAATGACAGCTTAGACTTGCAACCATTGTTTACAGTAGATCTAGCTTGGATTTCAACTCATTCTATCGCTCGTTATTATTACTTTTATTCTGGTCTTTTAATCAATGCTAAAATCATTCTAAAATACTAATTATGCAGTGCTAAGAAAGGGTTTGACGATAAAAACGCCGAAAGGTGTTCATAAAAGTATGAAGCGAGATATATTTCAAAGCGCATTTATTACCAGCCGGTATTGTACGGTAATTGCAGTGAAGCATCGATCTAATCAAAACGGAAGCCAATTATTAACTGAGAGCGAAATCATAACAATGTCTTGCCGCTTCCAAAATTGATCAAATTCCTCAGTATGTTTCCGGTCGGAAATGACCATGTACTTCATGTCTACGCTCTTTGTAGTTTTGTTGCATTTGTGTGTTGTCGGTGGTGTATTGTTGTTTTCTTCACCTATTTCTACTTTCCTTGGTGCACTAAAATGCAGAGTGGACAAGTTTTCTAGTGATCTTTAATTGGGAAAATACTGACAACCTACCGTACTTCATCTATTAGCGTACAGTCTAACACAAATAATAACTAACAACAACAAACATATGAAACATATGTGTGAACTGCGGTTATGAGACGTATATGAGAACGATCCTTCGCAGTAAAGCACTATTTGAGCAATAGTGAAAATCAGACCTGAAAAAAAAAAAATTTCAGGCCTGTACGGGATTCGAACCACTGACCTCTACCAAGCGCTCTACCAATTGAGCTAACAAGCCAACTGGGAGCAGGCCATCAAATTAATTCGATATAAACCCGTAGATGATAAATCAAACAACAACAAACATATGAAACATATGTGTGAACTGCGGTTATGAGACGTATATGAGAACGATCCTTCGCAGTAAAGCACTATTTGAGCAATAGTGAAAATCAGACCTGAAAAAAAAAAAATTTCAGTACGGGACTCGAACCACTGACCTCTGCGATACTAGTGCAGCGCTCTACCAATTGAGCTAACAAGCCAACTGGGAGCAGGCCATCAAATTAATTCGATATAAACCCGTAGATGATAAATCAAACAACAACAAACATATGAAACATATGTGTGTTGTTGTTTGATTTATCATCTACGGGTTTATATCGAATTAATTTGATGGCCTGCTCCCAGTTGGCTTGTTAGCTCAATTGGTAGAGCGCTGCACTAGTATCGCAGAGGTCAGTGGTTCGAGTCCCGTACAGGCCTGAAATTTTTTTCAGGTCTGATTTTCACTATTGCTCAAATAGTGCTTTACTGCGAAGGATCGTTCTCATATACGACAAATAATAACTGTTTCCATATGATCATCTTTCGTTTCAAACCCGAGCATTTGTGTAACCCTGACGAGAAGCAGATCACACATTTTACTATGATGGTTATTTCTCATTGAGTTTTTCAGTTTGAACGAAAACGGCGATGATGGCAAATGGGGAAGCAAGTGATGCACCTCTTGAAAAACCGTTGAGTGACAAGCATAGGCATATTTTGAAAAACGTAGAAGAGGCCCCTTCAAGAGATATGGATCCAGAAGAATTATTACGGAAAATGGCAGCTGTTAAAGTATTATTTACCCAATCTGAAGCAGAGAAAATAAAAGCGAAACAAACACGATCGGGAAAATGCGAGGAGTTGCTAGAGATTTTATCAAGGAAGGGTGAGAAAGCCTATCAAATATTCAAGAAAGTACTCCGAGACGTTCACCCACCCCTTGCAAACATAATTTTGGAACGTGGTAAGTGTTTTAGCGCCAACGAACATCGATCAGTATGAAACGAACACTGCATGATTACACCTAACCGAAATTTTTTAACTATGCATGTCACATAATTAATCGAGATGAAGATGCCAAGCCAGTGTTTGGGAAGAGAGGGTCCAACACCTGTACAGCCGTAATTCTTTTTTCTCTCTTGTTGCGAGGTTTCTGCCAGTATCTCCAATGTAGGAGGCGTGGCAATCGGAGCAATTGATCTTATTAATCGCTCCCTGTCTGTTCCTCGGTTCGTCCTTGCCTTTAAGTTGGTTATTAACTGACATATTGTAGTGAACACAGACGGGCGACTGACTGAACACAGACGGGCGACGAGGAAAAGTGATGTCAACAATCACATTGCTGAACATCATCGACTTACGAACCACAATATTGACTGGGACTCTGCACAATGCCTAACCTACAGTACTAACCATTTTCAACGACTGACTCTGGAAAGCTGGTTTCCTTACCTAGAACATACTCCCCTAAACAGGTGTACACTACTACCGGCTCCGTACAAACGACGTATTCACGACATTAACATTACAAACGAACCGAACAGAACGACCTAGCGTTACCGACGGATCAAAACAGACCAATAACGACCGACTTACGCCTCTTGAGTCTTACAGCCAATAACAACACGGCAAAACCGACTGACCAATCATATTACACGAACTGGACTAAGAACATTCTACTGACGACAACTATTCACTTGACTATGATGATGACTTCCGCACAAGTTGTCGAAAGGTCAGTCACCACCACCGTTAACAGTCTTTCTCAAGACCACACATACTCGGAAGATCACACTGTTGAGGCTATTCCTCAACAAGGTTTTATGTTAGTCCGTTCCGTTCCTCGTTTTTTTGTATGTCACGTAGACCACAATCGTTCAGTAGTAATTTTTATTTTTCGCCTCCTTTTTTGACGCACGTGGTGAAGCGCTTGTAAATAATTTAGGTACGTGAAACTGTTTCTTTTCTTTCGTTTACCGCCTTTCATCATGTGGTTTTTACGGCTCCCTGAGTCTCGTAATTTATGATGAAAGGGCGACCGGATGGTTTCGTAAACATTGGAATTTTTCGCCGTCATTAAATTCGTTGGTTTAAAGAGCTGTTCTGTTGTTATTCGACATCGAAGCCGCTATATGTGTCCGACCCGGACACACACTACACTTTCACATGTTGCCTCCGGGTTCAAACCATTTCCTAAATCTTTTTTCAGTGTTAGGAAATTGCTCTGCAATTGCTTTCTATCGCAGCATAGACTCATTACGCTACTCTCTCTTAAGTGAGCTAAACTTTTGTAGTGTTCTTTTAAAGTTTCACTGATTAAGTGCCTATGCTCATAATTTTCCTGTAATATTGGGCATAGTGTTTTAAATAGAAGTTTATACATTATTATTTTTGGAGGGTATGTCTCAGCATGGGAATTTGGTTACCCCCTACTACGATCCTGTCAACCATTTTTGTATTTTTGTTTGTTTCTATACGTATTTTTTTTAAGTATTTAGTTCATTTGTATCAGTTATGTATCGTTACGAACTTTGATTAAACATTTAACATTTAACATTAAACATACCTCATTGGGTTCCCTTTTTTCATCTCAGAAAGCATGGACCTGGGAAGGGATGAAAAACCAGAGCAAGCTGACAGAGCAAGACCGGTACCTGACTCGAGTAGGTTCCTAGCATTTCTTTTTTTTTTTTCTTTTACCCAAAAAGGGTAAGGGGGTGCTGATTTTCTTAGTACGCCAAGTTTGCTTGATCTAACAATTCTCATAAATAATTCAGTTCTTAATCAAGATGATGGGTGATATAGTGGTGAGGGGAAGGTAACTACTTAAAGATTCTGTTGTTTTATCCAGCGGTTACTGTTTAAAATATAGTGCAGGAACATGCTGACCGGACCATGGAACAGAAATTCATTAAAATATTTAAAAAGCTTAATGCTCTGAAGTTTGGATGAACTAATGAGTGACGGACATTATAGATTGGTTACGTAATGAGCTTCGTCTTAATGATTCGCAGCTGAAATAAAAAAACTGCGTGAGAAAGTTGTTACTTTGCAAGGATGCATGTCAATTCAGGATGACGCGGGAAACTGTTGGAGGGAACTTGGAGCATATCTTCAAATACCAGAAGGCGAACTTTGCAATATAGAAAAACAGCACCGATTAGCAAAAGATAGTGGATATGCAGTACTTCAATCATGGAGGAATAGGAAAGGGAGTGACGCAACTGTAGGATGCCTTTCCGACGCCTTTGAAAGTATTGGTAAAAAAAGGATTGCAGAAAAGTTGTTAGGTGTGTAACTCTGTTTTTATCTTCCTAGAAAGCGGTTTGCTACAATATACCACAATTAATACAATACGTTACAGTAGCCTCCATGTGGCGCGAAAATGTGCTTGAAAATTTGTCGGCGGAAATTACCTCTTCTGATATTTGATGTGATATAAGCCAGTAGGAATGTTAAATGTTCTCTAGCTTAACTGAAATTGGACCATTCAAAGAAAAACATCCATGTTTTGAAAGTACGAACCGGACTTGTTTGTACGTTTTTTTTTTTTTTCTTACTTTACGCAGACATTCGCCTCTGTTATCTTTTACATTCTATTTTCAGTCGAGTAATTTGATCGTTCGGCCAAGAGAAGTCCTGAAGATGTCTGATGGTGAAAGTGACCAAAGTTTGAACAGCCATATGAAGCAGAGTCCATAAAACTAGAAGATGTTCCAATCTGCCTCGCTCTTTTTGTTGCGACATTGTAAACGGGGTTTCAAATAGCCTCTATAAGTTTTTTACACAAGTGCCAAGGGCGATTAGGTTTTCTTTGTTCTAATCTTCATATGGTAGATTTGGTTGCCAAACAAATACGATCCGTACAATTTTAGGCTCACAACAAGCTACTAAATACGAGGTTTTGAAGACGTTTCTTTGCTTCCAAGATATTCCTACTCAGAAATGATCACCAGCTAAGTGTAAAAGAGTGCAAGGAAATTATGATGGACATTCCGTTTGTTGATGGGTTAATCGCCCAAGAAACAGCTGGTTGCAATTTTGAACCCTGAGTCATATACCACCTCAGTTCTTTCCTATTCTAGCTTTCGGTTAGTATTTTGTCTCCCATTGAAAAGAGCCGACATTGATAAAGAGCATAGCATTATGCGGTGACGACATTACGAAATTGCCTCCTCATGATGCCCCTGAGAGATCTTCTCTTGCCTTTCTGACTTTTTCCATCAATTCTCTCAGCCCCTCTAGATTTTCATTCCTTGCTCTTCGTACAATTGCTTCTTGTAATGCAGCAACCTCCCTCAGCAAGCTGTTCGTCGTGTCAAATGGCTCGTTCCGTCCCGTGTTTAGCTGTCTACTTGGAAGTTCATCTACATTGTACAAAACCAAGTAAACAAATATCGTAAGGTACACCTAATTACCTATCGTTGCAAAAGTGAGTGGTGATTTAATTGATTAAAACTTAATGAGGTTAGATATGGTCTTTTAAAAACGTTTCAATCGAAAACATCCCTCGGGCGACAGAAAGCACAAAAATTTACAATGGGCTTGAAAACACCAACTCAACAGAACCCTTATTTCATCCAGAGGATACTCTCCGAATACTTTTTAAACTCAAGCCGGTCTACGGGTGGGTTCGGCCACCTAACAATGTCCAAAATTAAATTCAAAAGTGTTTAAAAGGGAAGTAATCTTTTTCTATATTTTTAATTGACCATATACTACCCATATTCCGAGATTTTTTTAACTGAAAATAAAAATCTAAGCAGATTGGGTCGATGGTGGGTCCGACAGACGTTAAAATTTTACAGAACATTGGCGGTTGATAGCGTAAGAAGAATGGGCATGTCAATACTCTGTGGAAAATTTGTATTGTTCGTATGCTTTTGAACAACGCTTAGACATGAAACTCACCAACTCTAGCTTTGATTCTCGTGACAGCTTGATTCATCTCTCTAACTTTTTCGATACTTTGTCTTAACTCATTCAACTTCCTCTGGCTACTTGCCGTTTTATCGCTCCTTTCACTTTGCTCTATGTCTCGTGTTCTCGGTGCATCTACTTCTCCTGAAGTACCAGGCATCGTCTCAGGTGAAACTTCTCTCTCCCTGGTTGGGCGTTGCCCGGTCTCACCCTCTTTGTCGCCTAATGACAAAAGAAATTAAAGACCAAATATAACGATGTTAGTGACCCATCATTCGGAAAATTATGCATCATTTCACAAGAAGAAAATGAAAGTTCTTCGCACCAGTATGCGAGAAGCACTGATAAAATTAGAGTTCTTTGTGCTAGCTTAAAATGATCATTAAAGACTTGCAAATAAGAAAAAAAATGGTTACTCACTGGTATATTTAGCGAGAATAAAATAAAGATTTCAAACAACTTTCAAATAACTTTTCAGAAAAAAGTAACTACAAACTGACATAAAAAGTAAACCCGAAAAGGAAATTGTAAATCCGTAAAGGAAAAAATGATCACGGCAGGGACCTCTTCAAGTCTAACGCTAAGCAATTACTGAAGAGGACTTAAGAAGTGATGAACAAGGAAATAACGCTGATCAAAAACTTCAATGTATCAAAAATAAGATAAAGTGCATCTCAAACTGAGTATCAGTAAAAGTCATCATTCTCATACTTCCCGATGTTCTGTAACTCTATGTGAAGACTTGATAATTGGTTGAGTCCCTTAGGAATACCCTACAACATGAAGCTTCTAAAGAGTTCAGCCACGATGAAATGAAAAGCGAGAGACACTAAAGACGGTGCACGAGTCAATATTCATGTATACATCCACTAATTCTTCACAGAGCATAAGGGAAAAATCTTGGTAAATACTGATTTACCTTCTACTGGGCTGCTACATGTATCTTGTTGCTCTACTGAACCGTCGCCGTTTTGTTCACTTTCTCTTCCTATTTCCTCTCGCGCAATATCTAGCCCAAAAAGGGGCAAATCATTTGTTAATATCTAGGAATCGCTCTTTATAACAGTGATACTACTTACGACATTTATAGGCTGAGCGAATTTAGATGACATGATATGCTTAGATTCTGCGAATGCAAATTGCATATTCTGAGAGCAACTTAAAACACCATGACCACGTTTACTGGTACCATACAAAGTTTCAAGACCTCATCGGGAAAACTCTTTGGATCTCAATCCAGATTAATGACTTCCATGAAAAGTACAGGTTTTAGGTACCTAGCAATTTTTCTGCGATCCTTTTCATGCCTATTGCAATAAGGGTAGACTCAAGACGTCCCACAGTTGCATTGCTTCCATTCTTATCCCTCCAGGACTGGAGAACAGCACCTCCCTTATCGCGAACTTTACCGTAATCACTTTCTATGTTGCAAATTTCGGCCTCATCAACTCCAAGAAATATTCCAACTTTTTTCCAGCAGCTTCCTATATGTTTGTTACAAAGTGTTGCTATCTTTAGAGTAACAACTGACTTTCTCAGCTCTTCGATTTGGGCTAAACGAAAAAAAAAGCAGAAACAGTTTATAGCTATAAAGGAAGAAAAACTTTCCACAATACTCGAAATTTTCTCTTTTTTTAACAACTGGAAACCAGTTTAAGCAGTCACCCCTTTGAATTTCTTGGTAGTTTTTTTTTACGAACTTATTGAGCACTGAATGATAGAGCTTTTTTTAAAGGATTTGGGAAATTTGAGAAAGAGGATGAGGCCCTTTTCCTGAAAATCTCGCCGACCATATCGACCCAAAGCCATCGTTTAAAATTCAAATCTATAAGAACAACTAGTACAGGCCTTAATAGAAAACCAACCTATCTTGTTTCTACTCTTAACATATTTTGTCATTGAATTTTAAAGGCACTGATACCTTGATCTCAAATGTAATAAACCGTCAGGGGAGAAAGCTGTTACCCTTCTCTTCTAGCATTCTTCCTTTCACCTCTCTGACTACTATCCTAAAATTCAAACAGCTCTCACCCAAATCTTTTACTGGCGACTCCACAGAAGTTGAAGGTTCACAAACCGGCGGTTGCTCCTGCGACTGAGATATCTCCCCGGAAATTGCTGGAGAGCGGTTCTGTTACGAGGAAAAGGAACACATACATTATAAAAGCATGGTCTTTTTAGTAATTAATGTCACAATAAATGAAGCAACATGTCTGACTCATTGCAAAACTCTATCAACAGAGTCATAAGCTCCAGAATTCTTGAAATTAGGTCATAAAATTTAGTTATGAGGACACTTTCACCGTGGTAAACCAATTAACCCTTTACACGAAAAACGGAATGTACAGAGTGACTGACATTTCCTGAGGTAAATTCCTCGTGAGAGTAAATATGCAGGATGCGTCAACAACTTGGGATCAGACGAAGGGCATCCGACGCTTTTTTGTGAGTTAGATTTGCCATCACCAGGAATTTGAAATCAGAGTTTAAAAAATCTTTCTTAACCGCCAGGAAAATATTTTTCCATTTAAAGACAATTTTCATTTATAAAATTCGCGAATGACAAAATGGTTATATAAAAGGTGTTTTATTTTAATGGGATAACATTTTTCTCAGATAGCCATCTCCCAAAACATTCGTAAGAACCCTTAAAGCTCTTTTTAAGTTTTCATTTCATACGTTTCAGTGTCCAAAGTATTCGATTTTTTGTTAATTTTTTTTACATACTAAGAAAGTCCTTTGAAATATTATTACTCCCCTATAACTTTGAGTCGAAAGCCCCTAAGATCTTAAAAACCATCACAACTACTAAGGCACTTCAGGTACTGCCAAGATTTCTTCAAGGAATTCATAAAAAAGACTATAATACCACGAATCATTTTGAAAAAAAGAATCTTTAAAAGGAAAAGAAAAACATTATGAAAAGATATGTGACTGAATAGAAAGACAGTGTTTAAGTAAGGATATTGATGCATTTGTAAGAGTTAAATAACGATTTGAAGACTGAATCATATATAAAGTCTCTGTCATACCTCAAACGGTGCCACTGGATGAAGAAACAGAGAGCAAAGTTTTTCTCGCCCTTCCTTGTGATTTTCCCTTTTAAAAAATTCTATCGTTGGTGCTTCGAAACGAACCGAGAATCT